CTAACGGGACCATTATCCGCGTATACGGTCAACGCTCGCGCACGCTAAATCTCAGCCTCCGACGCGCTTTCAAATGGATATTCCTCGTTGCGAATGTTCAAACGCCTATCCTTGGTCTCGACTTCTTACGTCATTACGACCTACTCGTCGACGTTAAGCGACACCGTCTAGTCGACCGCCTTACGAATCTCGCAGTCATTGGGACTTTGACCGACACCGCGTTAATCAGTCCCGCGTACGCGACTCAACTTAGTCCACCCGCCGGGCAAACGCTGCTCGATAGTTTTCCGCAGGCCTTCCGTCCTGCCGTCCCGTTGCCTTGCGCAACCGACGCCGCGACACATCACATCGTTACGAAAGGTCCGCCTGTGTTCGCAAAAGCCAGGCGCATGACCCCCGACAAGCTCAAAATTGCACGCTCCGAATTCGAGCACATGCTAGACTTGGGCATTATTCGCCCGTCTAAGAGCCCTTGGGCGTCGCCTCTACACATAGTGCCTAAAAAGTCAGGAGACTGGCGTCCATGTGGCGACTATCGCACTCTCAATAACGCTACCGTCCCCGACCGCTATCCAATTCCGCACATTCAGGACATCACGGCTAGCCTACGTGGCACCCGTGTGTTCTCGAAGATCGATCTGGTTCGCGCTTACCACCAGATCCCTGTAGCCGAGGATGACATTCCGAAAACCGCAGTCATCACGCCTTTCGGACTTTTCGGATTCTTGCGAATGCCCTTCGGTCTTCGCAACGCAGCTCAGACTTTTCAACGCTTCATAGACTCTGTCACGAGAGGTCTCGACTTTGTTTATCCTTATATAGACGACATCTTAGTAGCTAGTTCTTCCGAAGAACAGCACGCGGAGCACCTCAAGATGCTTTTCGAGAGGTTAGCCTCTAATAGCATTACTGTCAACGCTGAAAAATACATCTTTCAGCAACCATTTATCGAATTTATTGGTCATCGAATTGACCAGCATGGCATACGGCCGCTCGAAGACCGAGTCAGTCTATTAAGGACTTTCCCGTTCCGACTACTTTGGCCGCTATCCGCCGTTTTAGTGGGATGATCAACTACTACCGTCGATTTCTGCCACGTTGTGCCGACTTGCTCAGTCCACTGACCGACCTACTTCGTGGACGCAAGAACGGCAACGTCGAGTTGACGCCCGCTGCAACCGAAGCCTTCAAGGCGTGCAAAGAGGTCTTGGCTGAAGCCGTTATGCTTCACCATTTCGACCCCAAAGCTCCACTCGGCGTTGCAGTCGATGCATCGGACACCGCCATTGGCGCCGTTCTGCAGCAATTCACTGAAGGATGCTGGAAACCACTCGCTTTCTACTCCCGACGCTTACAACCGGCAGAAGTCAAGTACAGCACGTTCAGCCGCGAACTGCTGCCAGTTTATTCTACCGTCCGACATTTCAGGCACGTCTTAGAAGGTAATTCGTTCGTTATCTTCACCGATCATAAGCCGCTTATTTACGCCTTTCGAAATCAATCAGCTCGACACTCACCACGTGAGGTTCGTCAGCTGGATTTCGTGGCTCAATTTTCTACTGACCTCCGACACATTTCAGGTCAGAATAACGTCGTTGCTGACGCTCTTTCGCGCGTCTCCGCAATCCACACCGCTGGCCAGGCAATCGACTTATCTGCCATGGCTACCGCGCAACTAACCGACACTGACTGTCAGAAGGTCAAACAAGATTCTTCGCTACGAATCACATCGCATCCACTGCCGTCATCTGATGGCACAATCTTGTGCGATACTTCTACTGGACGACCTCGACCTGTCGTTCCAAAAACCTTTCGACGTCTACTTTTCGACACATTTCATAACATCGCTCATCCAAACCACGATCAAGCTCATATCCGAGAGATACGTTTGGCTCGGAATGCAACGCGATCTTAAGCGCTGACCTCCGACACATTTCAGGTCAGAATAACGTCGTTGCTGACGCTCTTTCGCGCGTCTCCGCAATTCACACCGCTGGCCAGGCAATCGACTTATCTGCCATGGTTACCGCGCAACTAACCGACACTGACTGTCAGAAGGTCAAACAAGATTCTTCGCTACGAATCACATCGCATCCACTGCCGTCATCTGATGGCACAATCTTATGCGATACTTCTACTGAACGACCTCGACCTGTCGTTCCAGAAACCTTTCGACGTCTAGTTTTCGACACATTTCATAACATCGCTCATCCAAGCCACGAACAAGCTCATATCCGAGAGATACGTTTGGCTCGGAATGCAACGCGATCTTAAGCGCTGGGCACGCGGTTGTCTAACGTGTCAGCAGACCAAGATACAGCGGCACGTATCCGCTCCGCTTGGCCGTTTTCCGCAAGTCTCAGCTCGCTTTGCCTATGTCCATCTCGACATAGTTGGACCCTTGGCACCATCCAGAGGAATGGTCTACATGCTGACCATGATCGACCGATACACCCGTTGGCCCGAGGCCGTACCTATACCCGACGTATCCGCGGACACCGTAACGCGAGCTTTCGTTGAGCGCTGGGTCGCTTCACATGGCTGTCCAGCCACCGTGACTACCGACCGCGGTCCGCAGTTCGAATCCTCGACCTTCAACGATCTTCTCAAAGTCCTCGGATATCAACGCATCCGCGATACTTCTATTGGACGACCTCGACCTGTCGTTCCAGAAACCTTTCGAGCCGAAGGCTTCCTCATCCGACAAAACTGCTGGATCGACAACGCCCCCGACCGAACGCCTGAAATCGACTAGGTCCGGTAGGCGGGTTCATTGGCCAGCGCGATTAAAAGATTAGTCCTCTTTTCATTCTTCCTTTCCCGCTTCGTTTTGGCTTGTGGCCTAACCCACCCAAAAAACGGTAGTTTTGAAAACCCAAAAAAATTTGCAAAGCGTTTTGAAAACCCGTAAAACGTTTTGAAAACCATAAAAATCGCAAAAACGTTTTGAAAACCTAAAAAAGGAGAAAATCGTTTTGAAAACACAAAATGGTTCTCGCTTTATTCGCTTATCGCACTCGGTAAGTGCTATCGCCCTTTGTTAGCTCTGTCGCTTGCACCTGTTTGACACTCCGCGTTTCCGCTTCTTTTTCATATCTCCGACACGCGGACGTTCAACGACAATCGAACGTTACGTTTTCGGACACTACGTGCTCAAACATCATGTGCTGTGACACTACGCACTCGAACGCTAAGAACCTTTCCCCCCATTTTGTGTTTTTGGCACCTGTAGGGAGGACACGGGTGGGAGCCCCTAGAGTCCGATCGCATTGGTTCTCCCCCAGCAGTTGCATAAGGTTTCACCGCCTGGTCTCGCAGAAGACTGGCCGGCGACGGACAGTCTTCACGTAGATCGAAGAGTCACCTACGGTTCCCTTCTAAGAGGGGGCTGTGTAGTGACCTGGAGATTCCCCTGTTTGGCTGCCGCATGCTGCGTAAAATATTACAAAATTATATTTTCTCGATGTACATAGCAAATTAGCCGCTCGCCTGTTTGAACGTTGCTCGCGTTTGTTTGAGTCAACATAGCATCCGCCTTCGAACGGCGCGACGCTCATCGGCTCCGCGGCCATCTTTGCTCTCCGCGCACGCGACCACACCTTTCCCCTAGCTAGCTATCTTCTGGTGCCTCAATTTTAGCACTAGATAGCGTTTCGCCCCACTTAATAAATTTTTCCTAACGTTACTTTTGGTGTCCTCCACTCATCGGAGGTTGGCCTTATATTCGCGTATTGGTTCTAAAGCGTACCGATCCTGCTTCTCGCTTTAAGGTGAAAGTGATGGTGTAGTGCTTAACTCAGCTAGTAGTTGCGAGGATAATCAGCAGGAACCAATACGGATACCAATTAATCCTAAGTGAGTACGTAGCCAGGCACAAAATGTATTGCAAAGAACTAGAAAGAAATTTGCAAGAGCATAGAGAGCGGTAGCGTACGAATCACAGAGTTTGAAAGTGAACCAGAGGTGCCGTCAGTAAAACATATGGGCGATTGGAAGATACAAACAAGAACAAAATGTAATATCAAAAAATACTGAAAGCGGAAATGCCTCAAGGCACTGTGCGGGGGCCCACTCTGTTCCTGATCTACATCAACGATGTACCTCAGCTTCCCCGGTCGCCGTGTGCCTTGTTTGCGGACGACATGAAAATTTGGGGAAAAATTGACGCTCCCGAGGACTGTGGCGTACTTCAGCAAGACGTCAACCGCCTATCCACATGTTCTGCATCAGTTCATCGCCCGGTCAACCCAGCCAAGTCTGTATTTATGAGCCTGGGGAAGGTTGCTGACGGCCAACCACTATATCCCACACCCTCCGTGAAGGATCTAGTTGTACTTTCGCGATACCACTTGAAGTCCGTGAACAACACGAACCGGCTATATCGTAACGGACTGCGTATGCTTTGGGCGCTCAAACGTAGCATCGGCACATGGTCTGAAGAGGTTGCCACTCGCCCCTTCTCTTCCATCATTAGACCAATGCTAGATTACGGTTCGTCAGCCTACTTTCCGATTACACGAGGCGAAGCACAAAAATCGAACGGCTCCAATACGTTGTTACCAGGCTTATCCCAAGTTTACGTGGCTTGGGGTATGAAGACCGGTGCAAGAAACTAGGACTCTACACCTTGTCCCACCATCGAGTGCGAGTCGACCTCATTATGACCTACCGTATTCTACATCTCGGTGAATTCCCATGATGAGGCCAATGATGCACTTACGAGGGCCATGCAGCACACGCAGACACAGATACAAACTTGTCGTGCCGGATGTGAAACGTGTTCCTCATCCACTGTGCTTCGAACGAAGAGTGGTAAATGTTTGGAACAGTTTGCCTGAACATGTGATGGAGGCAACAAATATGCAAAAGTTCAAAACGTTGCTAGATTTATATTCGATTCAGAGAACGATTGCACACTTACGATGACATAACACATTTGTGAGTCATGCAATACCGTGCGTCAGATATGTTAAATGTTACATGAGAACGATAACGATATGCACGACTGAGAGCTTTTATAATGTTTTCCACCATATTTCGAAAGGGTTGTACAGAATTCATTTCTAATTGTTCTATAATTCAGATGTCAGGTGGTGGAACAAAGTGAGGACGGAAAAGTAAGGTAGTAGCTGCGGCTGGCGCACGCGTGGAGTTTGTTGGGTCCCAGCTTCGTTGTTATTTGCTACACTAGTGAACGATGTTTTTAGTTCTCACGGAGCACGTGAACTATAACCGCTCTCCAAATGACTTTGTGTGTGTACATTCCATTCCCATTTCAAACTAACGTTATGCAACAGTGCAGTTTAATCGGTAGACGCTTACTGTGAAAATTCACTTATCCTTTTAATTTTCACACCACCCATCCTACGGGTCTTGCCAAGCATTTGCTTATTTTATCCGTGATAAAGCATCGTTCATCATTCGAAGTCGGAAGGCCATTGTGGGTCAGTGACTGTTTTAGCCTAAACCGGCTGAGTTCTGAGTAGAGCTATTTTTGTTGTGATAGCTCGTTCTTTACATATTTGGTGATCCCGTTTTCCATTTACTCTTAGTTTTCTTGAAAACTTTGTTAAATACTCAGAACTCCCGTTTCCTTGCCATGGCTTTTGAACACGTTTCTTTTGAGGCCACATATGAATATATTGTCTGGTTTTCTGTGTCAACTTTCGATACGTCCAATCCTCGTGTTTGGATTTTTACAGCTGGAAGCACTTCTGTCTATCGAAACAAGCAAGAAAACAGGGATAAGAGTATCCGTTGAAAAAATTCGCTCATAAATGGGAAAGCATATAAATCAGACGCAGGGCATCATTCCACTAATAAAAGAACTTCAGGAGTAAGTTCTTCCTACCAAACAAGGTGGATGTGAATAAACCGTTGGTACGAGTTCATGTGCCGAAACGACTCGAGGCAGTTTGGAGCAGCAGAAATAAGCATGGGGCAATAATGTGGACCTTCGGTGGTCAATCGGCTCATCTGATTGAATGAGCTGGCAGAAAAACAACGTGGGGAAATTGTTTACAAAACGTAGCACAGCTCCGTCTATGGGAATCGACCAACAGAAAGTGTGAACGAATAATCCTCAGGGTAGCGCGAAAAATGCGAGTTAAGCAGCCGGGACCAGACCGCAGACGAGTTGACGAAAGTGAGAGCATTCAGAGAAACGGAAAAACGATGCGGTCAAGGTCCAGGCTGCAACGAGCAATGGGCCGTAAAAAGTGCAAAGGCTGCGCGAGGACGAGAATGGAACTGCAGGAACAAATTGGTGAGAGTTCAAGGAAAGAATGAGTGTTTCAAATACAAACGTACTATGTACAATGGGGAGCGGGCAAATAGGACAAGTCTAATTTGAACAGGGTAATAAGGACCAATTAGGTGAATCTCGTACTGTGTGACAGTTCAGGAAACAAATCAATGACTAGTTGATCAAGGAGGGTGTATGTGAGTTGTTTGTTCCACTTTGGATGCTGAAAGCAGAAAAACAGTCGGTCGACGCAATGCTCCAGCTCCTCTCGGTTGAAGATGTATACCACAGGGTGGTCTAAAAAACAGATAAGAGGAGTGGGTCGTGAAAATATTTCTCGGAAACGAACGTCCAACGTCTGAGCGGAAAGCATAAATTAATGGTAACTTTCATGGGACAGAGAACTACAAAACTGGTCGAGATGTCTACATAGACAGATGCGTATAGGAGCATGAAGGGGAAACAGAATACGGACAAGATTGGTTGGGGTAAAGTATTGCATAAAAAGAAAGCGACGTAACGGCAAACAGATAAGGGTGAGACCCATTAGGTGGAACCCCTGGAAATAGTAGACTTATAAAGATTGAGTTAAAAGAAAGGTAAATGCTCGGCATACTACTGATGTTAGGAGAATGGAACAATGGTATAATGCGGGTAGAGAAAGCTAAGGCTTCATAAGTCCGGTGGGATGGTCGGTAGGAGTTACGTAAGTTCCAACAAGCAAGTTACAGTAAAGTGAAAAGGGGCATCTGTGGACTCACCATGTTATCCATGTTAAAACATATGTATATTCGTCTATACTGATTCCATGAAGGTTGGTGAGCATAATGCATGCTTGTTTCTTGTCGTCAATCAATGAACAGAAATAAAATCAAGTAATGCAGGTGGCGTAATATATCGTCGAGTAGTTGTTAAAATGGGTGGTGTGCGTGCAGAAATGACGATGGTCGAAAGAGCGTTTCATGATTGACAAATGCGAAGGGAAAAAGAATTCCGGTGGCATTCCAGCTGGCCGTAGTGGGTGGCTAGTTTAAATTTCTGTTTGTTTGTGTTGCGACTGAGTTTCAGGCAGCGGCAAGCATCACCGGGGTTTTTCAAGATTTGCTACGCCAGAATGAGGTCACACCGTAGACGGCAATAACTTTCGCTGTACACTCACAGAGCTTTCAGTCGCAGATGGTATGTCAGGTGGAACAACCCGTGCACATGTTTGTTTGCATTTCTTTGTGCGGTCTCCAGAGCAAATAGATCGCATTTTAACCAGGGCTGCTAGGCATGAATCGCGTACTCCACATAGAGCCTCACATACCCAATGAGCAGTTGGGGGAAGATGGAGGGGTCGAACCTCCAGAACGTTCTCCGTGAGACGAATGTGCTGAATAGCGGCTTTGGAGGCCTTCAAGGACTGCTCCGAACAGCCGACGTCGTCTTTCATCACCACCCCAAGATCGCGCTCCTGTGAGGCGGTTTCAACATGTCATCTTCAAGCTTATATGCACTAATGGGATTAAAGCGTAATGCAGAGTTTTGCACTTGTCCGCATTAAATGGAAGTAGTTTTGCTTATGACCATTCAAACTGTAGTCTAAGTCTCGATGCAAAAGATAGTGATGTTCTGACAGACGATCACCTGCCAAATTTTAATGTAATCGGTAATATGTTGAAAAAGCGATTATATGACACGCGCGAAATCGTTAACGAAGGGCAAGGATAAGCGCGACCACAACACAGCGTTTTGGAACACCGCAGTCCACATCAAATGGATCAAAAAATGAGCCCCGAACTAAAAACCTGAAAGTGCTACTGAAGGCGGGAATTTGTGATTCCTTCAACAACAGGATCGCAATTCCGTAAGCGTGCAGCTTTTGGAGAAGGATGCGATGATCTATGTGGTCGAAGGTTTCAGAAAACTCGAGATAGACGACATCATTGCTGGTCCCACTGTCGGCTATTTCGGCCCAACTGTCATGTGCAATCGTTAGATTAGTAGTACATGAACGATGCTGACGGAATCTGTGTTGCTCCGGTGCTGTGATGTCAGACCTTTCAAGGTAGCCTTATTAGTGTCTCAGCTATGATTGATTCCATCACCTATGAAAGCAGCGGGTGCATCACTGGACGATAAGTGGAGGATCCCTGAAAGACTACCAGTCTTGAAAATCGGGGTAATTATACCCTGCTTCCACATGTTGGGGACCTGCTATTCATCCACGCATCTTTGGAAAAATTGGGTCAATGACTCGGCTATCCTCGTTGCTGTCCCCTGTAGTGCTTTCGAGGAAATGTTGTCAACACCGGTGAAACTATAGGTGCGCAATGACAGAAGATTCCACAAAACGTTCGCTGAACTAAAAGTGAAGTGGGTAAATACTGTTGTCTGGAAAAATGGGACAGGTACGTGACACATGATGGTAGCGTATCGGAATATTGGAGCCGCAGAACGTTGGCTGCATCCTCAAAGGTTTGAGCATATCCATTTGCTGAGACAAATAGGGGGACACGACGTTTTACAGTCCGGAGGCTGTTAACATGTCTGTACAGTTTGTTGTTAGCACACAACAGTTCCTCTATGATTTTCTGGGTTACTAATTTGTTCTCACGGACGAATGTGGTACAATGATTAAGATACACTAAATAGTCGCTCCAGTAGTCAGAATTAGGGTTCGCTCTGTGTACATGTCACATCGCGTCTCTTATAACATGCGTTTTCGGGTGTTGCTCCGAATGAATGGCGGTGCAGTTGTAGGAAGAAGGGGCCTGTTTTCAGGTGCGGATCCGGTCACATCAGCGATTGTCAGTAAACTTTATCCAAGTAGTATTATTGAAACATTCGTTTGAGAACTCACAATTGGCTTCCCCAACATGTTTGCCAGCAAATCGTAGTGGGTGATTGTTCGAAATAAGTCAACATGTTCTATTGGATATTCTGAATAACACACAAAATCATACGTGATTACTCAGCCCCAGAGGGCCCTCCATTTTTGGTTTCTCGGTCATGAGCTACCTATTCACGAGCACGTGACAAAGACGTAAGCGGAGCACGAAGGTTGTCTGCTACATGCAAAGGGCATCAGCACGGGCGTGGTACGATCTTTGACCTTTCCGCCAAATTGGGGAATCGAGTGCGAATTGATCGGAAAGCAAATACAAGCCCGCATCGAAGGAATCGAACTATTTCGTCAATATGGTAAACCCATGAAGCAGAATTCAAGTATACAGGCTGAAAACCAGACGCAGAAGAGTGAGTGACTTTGATCTCCTAAATTATCATGTTTCGTTTACCAATGAATCGAGTTGATCTATCCTGTAGATACACACTCTGTCTAGCGAGTTCTGGCCTTTCTTATTCATTCGGTTGGCTGGGCGCGTGACTGAGCAGCCAGACAGTCTGTCTCAGAGGCAGCAAAGAAGCAGTACAAGAGCACCAAATCAAGAACAGATGGTGTATTTCCAGCTCTGAATCGGGTGGGTGAACTGACATGGTTGAAGAGCGGAATGCTTGCATGAAGCTTTTGCAGGTCGGCTCAGAATTGCTCGCAGGGGGGTGCCGGAACTTCCAGGTCATGAACATTGAAATCGCCTGAGTTGAGATCATGGACGTATCGTCATCGAAGTACTCACCTCAATACGAATGTCAGGCAGGAGTCCATCTCTGCGATGGACATTGGGGGCGATAAACAACTGTCACAAGGCAAGTGTGGTTGCGTTTCAGTAGCAGACTGCACTAGAGTGAGTCTATGATAAGCGTTTCCGGATCTTCCACTGGTTCACACGACAGATCACTATGGTAGTATAAAATTACTCACCACCCTTGCTAAGACCAGCGTTTCGTAGAAAAGACACCAAGCATAACTTCGGTGTCGGTAATTTCTGTGAAACCAAGATGATCGCTCCCACTTCTCGGGCCGTGTACCGTCTCTCGGTAAATATACAGACATATGATGCTTGACGTAGTCGCAGTACAATAAGCATATTCAGGAGTTCTTGTGCATTGGGGTACATGCAGGAAAGTTGCTCCCTTCTTAGCAATGAGTCGTGTAATGTGTGTTTTTGGTGTAGTGTTGTACCGACTGGTGAAAGGTCAGCTATTAATCATTTTTGGTGGTGGCGTATCTGTGTTAGATCCAGCGATACCGCCATTAAATCTTTGCTCTCCTCGTATGTATGTATGCCAGTTAGTTGATTAGCTGAATGACGTTATCTGATCTGTGAAGTTATCCGAATAAATGGCTGCTGTTGTGTGTTTGCTTAGGGGACGCTGCTTTTAGCTGAAGCTCGAAAGCAAGGCTGATGCGGCCCTCATATTAGCACTCTAACACGCTTGTTTACATCTGTTTGGACTGAAGTACTCCCTTCACAATCCTCGGGTCATTAGTGTGGACGTCCTAATGAAATTTCGGGATAGTTTGGAGGGTGGACGAGGCCCTGGAGGTACAAAATATAATCGGACCGGCCGTGATTGTTTCAGGCATATTTGAGCAATTGGTGGTATTGACGTCTAAAGTCACGCATATTTAATGCGGTGCCCAGCGTTCTTTCTCAGTTTTGAAGCAGAGCCCAATGGGAAGGACTGGGGCTGGCTCTCCGTCAAGTTTTCTTTAGATGGATCGGTTCTGGTGTTCCCCACCTGTTCAAACAAATGTCATCAGTATTCCTGGTTCCTGGGATAATTAGTACACAATCTTTACCAATGGTGTGACCATACATACTGCACAGAATCACAACGAAGCTGGTCTACTAGTGTGCATTCACAAATGGGTTACTGTGAGCTTAGAACACTTGGAATGAAACTTGCTAGTGGAACATTGGATTCCTGTTCGTACATTTTGCTGGATAGAAAGCTACAAACTACTGGCAATATGGGTGCGGCAAAATGGGCATCATTAGATTGGTCGCAACAAGCCACCGGGTCGATCGATGCATTTTCCCTCAATGACCGGGCGCCTATGGCTGCATCTGAAGGGTAGCCAGGTTCGGTGCGTCCAGGGCTGGCGTGGTAGGTTTAAGCGGCTAGATTGTGCACCCGGTAAACAAAGTGCGATACGGCCGCAAATGTTGCGGTAGATACGTTGCCTAACGGTCGACAACGGTGTTTGATGACGGGTTGGGTAGATCACGGAGTTGGCCATCCTTGGAGACCAAAAGGTTGCTGTGTAGTTCGTGATTCGGAAAATTCCACACTTGTGTTTCTGCGGGAATTGCGAAAGTTGCGATGTGGGGATAAAAGATGCTCCATACGCGCTAGATCCGAAAGATGGAAGGCAGTAAATAACGCTGATGAATCTAGATCGAAAGAATGTAAGCACACGTGTGTGTAAGGAAAAGTGTGATAGTAAATCAGATGTGAGCATGAAGCCGGGGATTTTACGTCCGCACGGCATGACACTTGAAGGAACCGAAATCTTCGAAGGGTACGCAGAAGTTCCCATCCAATATGGATGAAAAATGCGATGGACTTAAAACAGGGTGCTGTGGAAGTAGCAGATTGGTGCGAAAGCAGTGTTGCAAGGCAGACGAGAGGGGATATCATAAAATGTCAAAGCAAATACTTCAGAGACGAGTGGAAACTAAGGAGCTTTGGATGGCATTAATACAAGCAAACGCACCTAAAATCAAGCGCCGTAACGAGGCGTGTGCCTGTAATTTTCGCTCATCTTTTTCTGATTCTGTGCTAAAAGAGATCGGTGAGGAGATATAAAAATACTGCAGTTGGATAGTAAAAAGTAATATATACATATGTATACATATATATCATTAAATTTTAGATTGAAAGGCTTGCAAATCACATGTGAGGTGGTGCGAAACAAATTAATAAAGAAATTGGCAAATTGTTAGAAAGAAATGAGTAAAAATATAATAATGTAGCAGCTGTACACTGTGACGGCGCTTCGCTGCCGTGCGACCACCAGTAGTCGCAGGAGGACTGAGTATGCCGCGAGGACGCCCACCCCTACGCGAATTCGAACCCGCGCCGCAAGATTACGTGACAAGCTCGTTACCTATAAGCTAGGTGCGACTGGACAATGTTCAGACCACATGGTAGTCACACTAATTGAACCGAATTGTGTAAGCAGCCACTGCAAACCCTTCTCTTGATCGTGAACCTCGTTCAAAGGCGGTGACCGAGTTTCCCACTCTCTCCCCATCGGCATCCGCGTAGTTCATGCGTTTGTGCCGTTACACATGAAGCTGTGTACCAGTGTGACAAGTGGAAAGTCAGACTCCCCAATCACGTATATATTTATTTAACGCTTTACAAAATTACAATACAATTGACTGAGTGCCATTAGACATAATAGGAAATAAATAGATTGAAAGGGAAAACAACTGTTAGGGTAGAAGAGTATCACATCAAGTGCGTCAATGCGTACGGTCCTTGACCATGTCCTCTAGCGTTTACAACCAGGTGTGCTCGGGGTCCGTTGGGACCCAATCCGGGAGTAGAGAACGCTCAAGAACAGCCAGCCTCAACGATTGCGCCTTAAAGCATTGGATCCAAATTTCTCATTGCCCTGTTTTTCGTCGCTTCCACCCTATGTATGTGCTAGCAAATAGGGCTCGTCGTGGTAGCCGCTAGGTAGGCATGCGGAGTACATGCGCAAGCCAGCGAAGCCTCCGCAGTGAAATGATGCTATCAATCGATCGGCGGAGCTCGTTAGATCGGAAGACTCGCCGAAGGACTTCCGCATTAGTGATGTGATGCTACCGTCGAACACCAGTAATGCTTCGCAGGTAGCAGTGAACGAAGACAGATAGCCGCTGAACATCGCTTTTGCGAATGGGCCAAGTCTCACAGCCGTACAGCAGAATCGCTCGTACCGTAGCATTATGAACTCGTCCCTTGAGAGCGAGGCAGTCACGACGAAGCCACAGGTGACGAAGGTCAGCGAAAGCGACTCTAGCCTTGGAGACACGCAGTGAGATCTTATCTGTCAAACAGCAAATACAAAGACAACTCAAAAGATAAATGAATTTGTCTACCAGTTCCAGCGAATGCCCTGAAAGGGTGTGAGAAGGACATGCACTTGGCCAGTCTTGTAACAGGACCTTACATTTGGAAGGGGCAAAGGCCAACCCAATTTGGGTGGTGGACATCTCAAGTCCAAGCAGCATATGCTGGGTGGTTTGGGAGACCGCGCACAAATCATAGCGATGTCATCGGCGTACTCTAAATCACCAGAGAGCAGTTCAACACCGTAGGACGCAGAGTTTTCCAGGGCAGTAGTCAGAATCTCGTCCACGACGAAGGTGAGCAAGAATGGAGATGTTGGACAACTCTAACATCGCTAATGCTACTGAAAGAGGTCGAAATGTCTCCGTATACTCGCATGCGGCCGGAAGTTTGATGGTAAATGGCACACAGAATGCTGATGTACTGCCCAGGTACTCTCCTCTTCAGTAAGCAGTCCCAAAGATCCACTCTGTCAACAGAGTCAAACGCGGCTGGAATGTTTAAACATATGACTATGGTGGGTCGACTGGACGTATGGCGATGTTCAAGTAGCTGGTGGATCGTGATCGACGCAACCGCGACGTTGGCGAAATCCAGATTGTTGTTGATGCAGATGCTGTTCCCGTGCGCCACTGCGCCTCCGCAACAGTAGAGCAGCGAGCAGTTTGGATACGACACAAATGAGACTGATGCCACGATGGTTGGAGCAAGTAGTCCGGTCTCCTTTTTGTAAACAGGTACAACATCCGCTAAATTCCAGTCGGGTGGGATGGTTTAAGTAGTCCAAATCTGATGGAAGAGAGATGACAGTTCGCGAGTGAGAGCAGGACCTTCATATTTGAAGAGGGCAGAAGGAAATTCATCTATTATGACTTGAGCAGTTGTTAGCTAGCATTGGATGGCCATCATGAAGCACTCGTTTGTGAACGGATTGCGATGCGCAAGTTCAATGTGAACCGCGATTCCCACCGAAGTAAAGCTTAGTCAATTCGATCACTGGGACCGTAGCTGGTGAAGCAGATGGGCAGCGACCCAGTAGTTCACTGCCACTCCATGGGCCTTCGCGTATTTTCTGTGGGTGTTAGGGCGAACATATGCAGCTACACGACTACTGGAACAGTGTAAGCTATCATGACTTCACCAAAGCCACTGTAGCTACACTGGCTTATCGTTGCAGTTGGTTATTAGAGACAAGGGAGTAATGCGACTAGACGATGTTGAGGACACATTGCGGTCACGCGAAAGCAACAGAACTGTGCAAGTAGTGGGCGATTATGCAAGTCATCTCTTGGTAATGGGTGTCGTCCATCTATAATCGAATCGTGTCGTGGAGTGCAGTGTTTTCTGGTGGGCAACACCCAATTTCTATCTGCTTCAAATACGGTCCTAATAATCGCAATGATCAAGGTTTACTCCAACGCGAATCGCGGTCCACACTTTGATTGCGCATCGCAATTCATTCCTACAATGAGTGCCTCAAAATAACCATCCAATCGAACATAAGCTCTGCCGGTGAATGTGTTAGGCCAAGTTGCGATTGTTTGTTTGTACCCCTGAATGTAGTGTACGAACTGACATGGTTACACACTGGAATGTTGCAATAACGTCGTACAAAACCCGTACGAACTGCTCACTGGCGAGTGCCGGAACTTCCAGATTATAAATATTGAAGAATACGTCAGAAGCTTGGCCGAATATCCCAGTTCAAAAGGAATGACAGCCGAATGTTCATCTATAAGGTGAATTGGTTACCGACGGCCATGATGGCCTGTTACGTGTTCTAAACCGAATGGGCGAAATGACGCGACTGTAAAGTGGAACATTGGTTACGAGCTCTTGCAGATCGGCTTTGAATTGTTCTCCATTACTGGCAGAGGTTTCGAAATAATGTACTTTTAAATCACTCATGATAAGGAGGCGCGTACCTTTCCTTTAGAGTGTATCTTACAGCAATTGCGAAGTGGCAGTACATTTCGGGTGTAGAGTTTGAGAGCGGTACATCAACGCTACAAGGCAGGTGTCTCTGCTTTTTCACTGCAAGTGGCGCTAACGAAAATGGGTGAACTGCTTCAATAATACAGAATCACCCCTCCTCCTTTTATGAGTTTGCCGTTTCGAATGAGCGACATGCTCGGAAGCAGCAATACTGCAGCAACCGTCAGTCCAGCGATAAGTAACGTCACACATTGACAACGATGATATCGCATGCCACGCATGAACATGACGCTTCTGTACATTTTGATCTGCCCCTCTCGGGTTCAGTCTCTCGCAGACGAGAATTTACACCTTCTACTTGAAGATTTGTATGATTTCAAGCATGAATTCCAGCGAAACAATAATCAGGAACGCATATTGGAAGCGGACGTTGAGGCGATAAGATTAATCCAAAAGGCAGTTGACCACTTTGAAGAGCTAACAGATCTGAGTCTAAGAAATGTAAACTCGACCGTGTGCATTAAAATGTTGAGAAATGACTTACAAATAGGCAAGAACGAGGAATCGTATCGACTGTATGGTAATGGGGCGTAGAACGTTCAATCGTAATAGGGGACGATCATGCGGCACTACAAAGAGATCTCGACAAGGCCTATACGTGGCCAACCGAGAACCGGCTCCGGTTCAACGTGGTGAAAGGAAAAGTCGTGAGCATATGGCATCCACATACCTATGGCTATCGACTTGGGGGTCAGCAATTGTAACGTGCTTCCGAGGAAAGTGACCTCGGGGCAATCGTGTGTGATGAACTTAACTGACCGAAACAGATTGAAAAAGCATCGAAAAGAGGTAGTCAGCATATTGGACATTTACGGAGAATTTTCGAAAATTGCGAGCCATTTATCTTCCCGCAAATGCTGAGCGCCTAGGTGATGTCTCATCTGGAGTACGCGGTTAAGTTAGTGTCACTGTTGCAAACGCGATATTGATACGCTTGAAGCTCCACAAATGAACGTGCCCAAACTCAGCAGGGCTTTGTTCCGCGTCCAGCACCAAAGTAGAATGTAAGCCCAGGGTTTGTACACTTGTGAATATCGGCGTCCGTGTGTAGACCTCATCATGGTTTGCCTAATAATGACGAGCCCAAAGCACGCCTACTGCGAAGTGTTGCAACACAGCTACAGTACAAAGGTGAGAGGCCACAAGCTCAAACTAGCTACACACTATATTCGACTTAGTTGTCCGCAAAACGTTTCGTTCGTTCGAGTAGCCAGAACATGAGGTTGCGACGCGCAATCGAAGGTGGTTTTTAAGTCAAGAAAAACCACCATAGTCAATCGCCTGTATGTGTCTTTGCTCTAAAACTTGGTGAACAGTACAGATGTGGTCAGTGCAACCACGAGCAGGAGGGAAGCCAGCCGGACTTTCAGTGATTCGTTCTCATGGGGACCAGTATGTCATCGGAGAATGATACGCATGAGCAGTTTAGAGACAATGAAAACAAGACTAGTGCCCCAATCCTTGTTGCACAAAGTACGCTGACCCTTCTTGAAGATGAGCCCGACAGTTGAAAGTTGCCAGTTTGAAGGCGCCTCTTCAGTTTCCCTAAATGTGTTAAAATGAGAAGACAGTGCAGTCAAAAAAGAACCACCACCATCTTTCGGCAAAAATGCTCATTGGGAACACGGGACTGAGAAAGTCATAACTTTGTGAGATAGTAGCTGAGAGAAGGTCGAGTAATCCATTCTCAGCATCGTTGACTAGCCCACTGGGCAGAACATTTTGGATAGCGCTGTTCAGTAGGCTTACTGTAACACTGCCACAAGCTGAATCACTTAAACGGACGTGGGAAGTTGATGTCACACCTCTCAGTTTAAAAGAGGTTCGACAGAACATAATAAAAAAACTAAAAAAAATACAAAACAAAACCAGTAGTACATTACGCATCGGGTGTGGTTGGAGAGGAAATATGAGCAATAAGGACAAAGAGACTCCCAACATAAACGCCACTGAGGTCGGTTCTTTGTCATGTTTACAAGTGTATGCAACCAAACGTGTTCCTCGTCCTTCGGACTCCAACTACGGAGCCTAGAGGCTCTGAGCGAGATTAACTTCGAACTAAAGGCCTTCATTCCTCTTAACCAAGTCACCACTTGGACTCTCCTCCTTTTCTTCCATCCACACTCCCGACGCGCAAATAACGCAGGACGCGGGAGTCGGTGTGCTGGCAACACGTGGCCCAGCCATCGGAGCCTGGTTCGTGTAATAACGGTGATGAGCTGTTCACTCACTCTTCCTGCAGCAAATACGCGACGCCGAACATGCTCATTGCTCACCCGGTGTTCCCACCAGATATGAGCCTAACTGCGAAGGCACCCGTGATCGATCGTAACTAGGCTCTTTATGTTGATTGTTCTAATGGTTGTTCTAATGTTTCGCAACCGAACAGGAGGGTTGAGCGGACAGTCGCATAGTAAGCTCTGCTCTGAACCGAGGCGGAATTGCATATAGATCGGAAAGCGGTGAGCACGGTTGCAAGTAATGAGGCCAATGGTTGAGTTGACGCAGTGATGCAAGGATTGTCGAGCTGCTCGGTTGAGGTAGTACACGTGCAATGGGGACTTAAGCCTCCGCATATAAATCACCTGACGGAGTAAAAAGCAGTCACTAAGTGCTGCAAGGCGAAGAAAAAAATAAGCAATAACTCAAACAAGAACGAATTTAGATTTCACATGGGTATACGGTCAGAGAGGAAATATACTCACCTTGGAGTATATGGATAGAAAAGAGTGGCTGAAAGACAAAAAAGACAAGAGTGGCAGTGATGACAACAGTACGTTAATAAAAATGAAAGGATACAGTTGAAAATTTTGCGCGTGGCCCAATTTTTGAAAGCAAAAAGAAAACATGAATGCAAAGTTCCATGGCATACTAAGGGACTGCATTTATTTCCGTAGTGATTGATGCAGCTCACTGCTTAAGCACACAGACCTCTGATGGTGTGATCTAGTTAGTATTACTAACTGGAAGGCATAACCATGGTTGAAATGAGATAGGTTAGTAAGAGAGCAGGTAGGAGCCTGGACAGATCCTCGCGTAATCTCGGTTTTTCTCTCACACACAAACAGTTGCACCAGGCAACCAGTGCAGTAATTGGCGCCAGTGTGACGGAAGGTGGAATAACCCAATAGGTCGGAAAACGGATAAGGACTGCACGGTGTTGTTTTTAGATGATAGTGCAGCGCACTGCTCGCGGAGCTGGAAAGATGGTTAATATGCCACAACGGTCGATAATCGAGAAGATTTGCACGCCAAAGGCAGGCGGTGTCTGTGACAGAATGTATTTATTGAAATGACAAACCAAATACTGGCAAAAGGGAGATGAGGGACAAGAAACTTAGAGCATTTAAGAAGAAGCCATGAGAAAGATGTGGTTCAAGTGGAGTAAAGAGAGAGCATTTGACACTACGGTGCCGAATGCCCCTGGGCATTCCTTCGCCAAACCTCAGGTGTCACGTGATAAGGTTGGGTGGGCCTACCACTAAATCGATTATGATTCATGCATGAAGCACACAGTTATAGACCAACTTGGAAAGGATACACAATCCCTTTTGTCATCCATCTATTAGATTAAGAATATGGTTATAAGCTTCAATTTCACAATTCTATCAATGAGGTGGATACTCTTGTGCTAAATTTCAGCAATATGCGGGATACCAGTGGCCGTTTATGTGAGAAAGTGAAAATAGAAGATTGTTAAAAGAGTAGTCTTTGAAACCGTAAGTTTACCATCGATCACGGGCCGTTCGCTCATGCCTTACTCCATGGGTTTGGCCCCGAGGGATGCATTTTGTGTGAAAAAATACAAGGAATACTCCATTTATGAAATAACCTACCCTTGAGTGCTTGCAACGCGTAAGCCAAATTCTCATCAGTAAGTAGTCCAATTAGGATGGCAGTGATGTGTTTGGTCAGCCAACGACTGACTGTCTTGCTGAAATACCGACACACCAGATGTGCAGTCCAGAGGAGTAGATGACGTACTTGATAGGTTAAATGTGTAGACACCAGGTCGAATAGTCGACGGAGAGTTTCTAAGAGGTCGGCCAATGTAATGGACACGGTAAGTGGTGAACGCAATTCAGGTTTTGTTTGCTCAGTTTCCGTTGAACATTGAGGAGACGATTCAGAATAAGCTCTCTCCAAATGTGTCACTGCTAAAGGATTAGTATCCAGTTTCACAGACGGTTGTGGTAAAGGTCCATTTAGGGCCGCTTCGCTCCATTCCACGCTGGTTACATCCCAAGGGTCGAACACAGAATTAGTTTTCCTTACAACCTTCGCTGAACTTGGCTCGCTTGAGGACGATGAACTTGATGATTGCACAGTACGCGATTCTGGAGTAGCCGCCTCGATGGGAAGTAAAGTTGAGTCAGGATGGATGAGATTCTCGAAAACGAAGACGAACAGCTCGCATAGGCCCGACTGATAAATTGTCACGAAATTGCAAGGCTGAAAAATCGCAGAGGATGAGGAAGAGGGAGTCGAAAAGCGGAAAGTGAATTCCACGTACTGGAATATGTCCAAATGAATAAATAGATAAACAAATAAATGGTTTATTCTCGTCAGTGCGAGGCACGCCTGCAAAGGCGTGATCATGGCAATAAAAACACGTATGATAGGTAATTGAACAAAAAGGTTACAAGTTAACCAGTAACATACTGTAGTTATGTGTGTATATGTAGGTGTGTGGAACTGATCAGGCGGTGGCTTAACAAAAAACAGTTAATTCTAAAATAGAGATGACCTATGAAAGCGTAACTGACAACAAACGCAAGCAGTTAATGTATGTCAGGGCAAAACTACGGGAGATGTCACGAAGAGGCCAACGCAAAGCAACCACAAGGATGGTCCGTTGTGCTCACGGTACAGATCCCGAGGGAAACAGAGGATTACCGTTCAGCCAGTTAGAGGTTTGTCAGAATCAACAGCAGCATCAGCAGGGGTAACAGAAGATAACACAGGCAGCCTGTCCAAATCGTGGAAGGGACGGAAAAAATGAAATGCGTCAGCAGTAAGCTAGCACGCCGTACGGACGCTTCCCTATCATGAGACTTCCATGCGCGCTCGGACTGGGGATACTGCGAGGCATCCCGCATCTACGCAGATTCGAACGGACGATCATCTGGTTTCAAGGCAAACGCCTTATAGGTACGTTCACTGGTCGGAGATGAGTTCAAAATGCACAGATCCCTCGAGTACAGAAGGTGGTAAGAGAAAGGATTTGAGAGCATCTAGCGAACAGATAATGTTTGGATACAAAGTCAATTACCGAAAAAAGAACAAAATGCCTTTAAACTGATGCACATTATATTTTTGTTAGTCGCAATCAGCCGACAATTCAGATAAGTCAACTAGCTATCCGGAAAAGCACCAGCTGGCCGTTTCGCCCTATTGGGGCTCATCAGTGGTGCGCATCCTTCGGTCCTCTGCGGAGGATCGAACCCATGACTACTAGTGGCTCTTGCCAACTAGCCCGCAGCTTATGCAACTGCGCCATGGAGGACGGTATCCGTCCATCACGAATTGTTAGCTAAATGCGATATAGCCCGACGCATCCTCCACTGCCATCCAGGCACCTGCCATGCAGATGACAGCGGTTGGCCTTCTAGCGTCAGGACTTCCCGGTTACGGCAGCTATGAATCGACATAGCATTTTGTGGAATCCGTACGGGCGAATTGGTATTATTTATGAATGGAAGGATTTTGGTGAGTATTTTTGTTCGTCGCAATCAGCCGACAATTCAGATTTGTCGACCAGCTGTCCGGAAAAGCACCAGACGGCCGTTTCGCCCTATTGGGGCTCATCAGTGGTGCGCATCCTTCGGTCCTTCCATTCATAAATAATAACAATTCGCCCGTACGGATTCCACAAAATGCTATGTCGATTCATAGCTGCCGTAACCGGGAAGTCCTGACGCCGGAAGGCCGACCGCTGTCATCTGCATGGCAGGTGCCTGGATGGCAGTGGAGGATGCGTCGGGCTATATTGCATTTAGCTAACAATTCACGATAGTCAGATACCGTCCTCCATGGCGCAGTTGCATAAGCTGCGGGCTAGTTGGCAAGAGCCACTAGTAGTCATGGGTACGATCCTCCGCAGAGGACTGAAGGATGCGCACCACTGATGAGCCCTAATAGGGCGAAACGGCCATCTGGTGCTTTTCCGGACAGCTGGTCGACATATATGAATTCTCGGCTGATTGCGACGAACAAAAATACTCACTAAAATCCTTCCATTCATAAATAAATGATGCACATTATGCCTAACAGTGTACTCAGTCTAGGATGCCGAATGGTATTTAACTGACACGCGGAATTGCAGTGAAGTGCCTGTGTCCATCAATATGCCTCTGTGGAAACAGATATTAGCATCCCTAGGTCAGATTGGAGTAGACGAGACGGTAGAATGGCTGCCCAGGATGTCTGAATAGAGGGGCTGAGATACCTTTAAACGAACAAATTGAAGGGACTGTACTGCAATTGGAGTTCTGTGAAGTAAATCGAACTATTTTATTGATAAAAACAATGAACCCAAACCCCAAGAATGATTATCCGTGGGATAGCCGCATTTTTCCATAATAACTGGGGCTACATTGCATTCTAACCGGGGGACCGATGTCAGTTAAAACGTGAGCTAGGAAGTGTTTTACGAGGAGAGCGAGTGGGTCAACCAGTTGAATCGCTGAAGCGTTTTAAGTCTGGTCCCATTTTTATTTTTTACGGCCACAAGTGCCAGTTTTAGTCGTTTATTTAGCGGGTGTGTGTGTTAGGGAACTGAATGGTCTCCCAGAACCGCTACTGGTCGAAGCAGCAAGTTATGTGGCGGACGCAGTTACCATAACCAGATATCGCCAGAGGAATATTAATGAGCAACAATATGAGAAGATGTAGAGAAAATGAACCATGCAGTCGAAGAAACGCAGGAAAGGAATGAAGAAGAAAGTTATTACAATCACCGGAAAAGGATAACGGTTGGAAATACGAAAACGAATGCGATAGCGACAACATGGTAGCTCCAAAACAGGGACAGCTGCTGGCTACTGGTGGAGGCAATTCTGAGGTCCCGAAGCCGGATAGTTAGCTGTGACATTTTTTGATACCTGTTGACTAAGTAATTGAGCTGTCACTCCAAAACTTCATCCGCAGTATGGGAAGAATACAGGTCGACATAAGCGAAGGGACGTAGACGGTTCAGGTGATATGGGTCCTTCAACAAGGTGCCAATTTCCCTGCTGCGAGACAACAATCGAAAGACCGCGTTATTACTCACTTCGTGCGCCTAGCGGATGCGACCAACGATCCGCAAAAATTAGTGCTGAAAAAGGATCATTTTCAGCTGGCAGTAACCGCGCCTGATCAATACGTTAAAAAGGCTCCAGAAAAAGATTTGGTGCGAAAGGAGTTAGACGGTGATGGTCAGTGGCGTGTTCGGTTATTCTTATGTCGCATCCCATAGGATAATGCCGTTACACACCGCATCGCATCTGTATACACCGAAAAGAACGGGTACACGCCTTCCAGTGTGAGTTCGTCGAAAAATTTGCTATTGCTGTCACCAAGTGGACGGACGAACAGTCTACTGTGGGGATAGACGGATTGGTTTTTAAGCAAGAATAACAAAGAATAACTTGCGGTACATAGGTGATCATAGGTCTACAAAGATGTAAAGATCCAACAAAAGGTCAACACTCAATGATGAAGCGCTGATGCTACCAAGTCGGCTGAAGCAACAGGGACCAGCTGGGACAGCACGCGACTGTACATTAGCTAGGCGGTGGTGTAACCGTATTCGCTCTCTCAATTTGGGTAGTGGACGCGTAGTCCGTACCTTCTACCAGTAGTAGGAACAGTGCAACACAATGCTCTTGTGACAGGCGAACGTGCTGGATACCACAGAAGCTAGCTGTTTAAAGGGGGCCATTCGTTTTCTATCAAATAGAAGCTGCCGACTGTGCAGGTCGTGAAAAATGATGACCAAGTAACAGCTATTCGCGTACGTAAAGATTGATTCTGCCCACGCATTCAGGTTGACTTCGACGAACCAGGTAAAAGAAATAACAAGGGACGATTGAGATAGTTCGGCGCTGAGAAATTCGGATCCCGTCGAAATGACATCTAAGGCATAAGACCATTTGAGGACTCAGAGTAGTATGATGCTGCGTGTATCAACCTCGTACACGAGAAGCACGAATGCGAGATGTACCGAATAACGATAAGGCTCAAGAGACTAAAACAGTAATAGCAAGACTCCACGACTTGCATTGAGGCACAGGTGCAGAACGGAGAGTGAATCAACATCACTGCCAAAGATGGGAAATTTATTGGAAAATGAGTCGGTCACGAGTCTATATTCGCTACGTGTAAACCAAAACGCACCTTAACACGCCTATGGCTCAGGATATTCATCGTACGACTTGACTAATGCGCGGTGCGCATCAAACCAGAACGGGTAAAGAGGGCTGTACAGTGTAGGGGGTGTGATGAATAAGTAAACAGAGTACAGGTTGAGGTTTTCTGCTGATAGCAAACTATAGTCACACGGGCCGCTATGCAATCGAAAAAGGGGGAGATGAAGAACTGGTGAAAATTACTGTGTTGCTTAGATCCATCTTCGACTCCGTCGACAAGCTAGCGTTATTCCAGAATGCTTTTGTTCTCAGACGATTTTCGAGCCAGGTGCGCTTCAAGTTTCGAGAATTGGGCGGTCCATTGACTGCGCTAAGAGACGTTTGCATCTTCGATTGTGGCGGAGCGGCAGCTATTGTAGTAGTAACAGAGCCTCGCCTTCGGTCCGAGAGTGCACCAGACGTGGAACCCGATGAAGCTAGATCTGTAGCACCGCAGACGTAGTGATCGGCAGAGATCATTGCGTCGATACCAGCAAGTGTGCCCACACCGCCACCCGGTAAAACGGTCAACACTGGCTCTGAGGGACGCAAGTCGACCGGTTCCATGGAAATTGGTTGCGGGTTGCAGGAGATATAAAACGCAACCAAGAACGAGTCCAGAAACTGACCTTTCTAAATGGCAGCAAAAGAAAATATAAAGCGAAGCATGAAGCTACCGGAAGCGAAACAAAGAGAAGCAAAGCCAACGCGCTGGGAATATCGGAACTACGGTACGAGAGAAAAGTAAGCTGGTATCGCATATACATCCCTGTGCCATTCAAGAAAATGTCATTATCCTCCAAATAAACCGATCGTTCCTTGTATATCCCGTATCCCCCCATAGTAAGTTGGTTGACAGAAGCAATGTTTGGGTGATCCGTTCGAATGAAAGTTGATGACGCTGGGTTAAGGCTGTATGAATGCAGCTAGTGCAATCATCATCATCATCATCATTATACATGTCAGCTAGAGATGGTAAAACACCTCCGCTATTGTACCGCAATACATAAAGGAAATACATACATACATACATACAATTGAAATATCTGACAGAAATACGCTAACAGATAAAATCAAGGTTTTATTAATCCATTGAGTATCGGATATACAAACCAGTTAGAAAAAGTTGATAAACATATGAGGAAACGCCAATGTGGGAAATATTGAATATAGGAAGTGTAGCTCACCTCCTTAGCCAGCTTGAGTGGGACGGATTTGGCAAAACGTCCAAGGTTCAACTCAAACAAAACATTGTTACTAAACGTGGTCTTGGAAGTGAGGAACCCGTGTAACAATTCGCTGTTGCGCAGAAACGGCTGCGAAATCAGATACTTTCATGCATGAAGAGGGATGAGAAACACAGGGGAATTTTATTTGGGGAATAGTACAACACGAGGTGATGCGGAGTAAGTGTTTCAAAAAAAGTGCAACCATACTTTGTTAATGCACGGGCGCGTATAAACAAAGCAGTAAAATGCAAATGGTGTACATGGAAAGGGGAGACAAACTGGCATTCGATGTGCTGTGCGGAAATAAGAAGTCAGGTACTTAGACCTAATGGCAATATCTGAATACTGAGAATAGAGAGCTAGTAGATAAAAATATGTGGTGCTCCATCGTAGGTGAATCGGGCACATGCACGGAATCACGTCGCTGATTACTGCGCGGTGGCAGCATATTGCAGCTGCACTACACCTTATCCGGATGCGATACGCTCCCTATACCTGTAGTCCGCAAAGTGGACGTCAAGGAATCACTTAAATTCAGACACCGATTTCGCCTCGACTGGCGTCTCCAGCAATTTGTTCCAACGTTTCACCATTAGACGCTCGAAGCTTAAAGGGTGAGCGATGTGCTTTAAATCAACCGGTGAACGCGCGTGTTGCTTGGTGCGCGAACGTGCAGCAGCGGCTTCAACATAGGGAAGTGGCCCAGGTGCAGTATCCGGTGCGTCATAGTGAGGTCAACTCGAAGCCAACCATATGACAGGGTATAAAGCCTTAGTCTCCCACATCGGTCATCGTACGACATACTCCGTAAACTGGGGATGAGCCGGGTAGCTACATGTTGGACCCGTTCCAGTCTCTGCACCTCACCTATTGTGACCGGACAATATACGGGTGAACCGTACTCAACCACGGGTCTTACTATGAAAGAGAACAGACGAGTGGCAATCGCTTCAGACTAAATTAGGAAGCCGCGTAGAAGTGTCCGAAGCAGGCGTAGTCCGTTTGCGTACAGTGTAGGCGACAGACTTCAGATCCCAGCGTGAGAGTTCGCCTAGATCCTTTAAGGAACTGGTAGGATGCAGTGGGTGGCCGGCCAGGGTGTACGCATGCCCATTACCATCCCTCCCCAGACTCATAAACGAGAACCTGGCCGTGTTGACCGGTAGGTCAACTTCTGCAGACCACCGGGATAGACGCTCCAGAGCCTGCTGAAGGATGTCACAGTCGCCGGGAGAATCATGAATCTTCCAAATTTTCAGGTCATCCGCAAATAATACGCAGGGAGACGGAAGAAGCTGAGGTACTTCGTTGATGTGGATCAGGAATAAAATAGGCCCAAGTACTATGCACTGAGGTACGCCGCTAGTGGACAGGTATCAATCCGTTAAGTGGTCATCCACCTGAACCCACCATCTTCTGCCAATAAGGAAGTCACTGAACAACTGTTGCAGTGCACCACCAACACCACACATCCTCAGCTTGTAGAGCAGGACCTCATGGTTCAGTTTATCGACAATCCTACTGAAATCAATGTAGATAACATCTACTAACTTCTCCCGATTCAACGCTTGCAACCATTCTTGCCGCGACAACAGCAGGTTGGTGATGCACGAACGGCCCTTCATGAAATCGTGCTGTGCCGGCGTTAGGGTATCTTTCGACTACAGCAGCTGGGGAAGACCCACTTTCACAATCTCCTAGAGCACCTTCGCCAAACTAGAGGTGAGAGCCACCAGACGGTAAGTGTCCACATTGCGTGGGTCACCATCTTTTGGAATCGGCTTCACTACTGATCATTTGCAGTCGTTCGGCAATGCATCCTCGGACAGCGATCTGTTGGATAGATCCATCACAGCAGGCGAGATGATGGCCGATAAGGACTTCGAAATTAGCGAGTGAAGTCCATCGGGTCCGGCAGGTTTTGTGCCATCAAGACTGGCGAGTAGATTGTGGACATCTACACCGCAATCAAGGACCTCGAGTTCAGTAGGGACTGCACACATCGAGCTCGGCATAGGCATATGTCCACTTGTATATAAGGAAGCGAAGTGCTCCGCCAATGCGGACGCACCTTCAGTGCTGGAGATCACAGGCTATCCGTCAGTGCCCTCTAACACCGGAACGTCAATTGCGGGCCTCAGGCGCCGCTTCACGTAAGCAAAGTCTTCTTGGGGGCCGTCTTTGCTGAGGTTGCAAGATCCTCTACGTACTACCTGACGCTTTTGAGCTGTTGCATAGATTCCGCTGCTTTTTGTAAGCCTCATAATCGTCGGCAGAACCAGAGAAGAGGAATCGATTCAACAATTCGCGTCGCCGTCAGGCCAATTGACTATACTCTCTGTCGAACCAATGTGGCTTAACCGGTCAAGCTTTCCGATACTTAAGTGGTACTAAACGAGCTCACAACAATTGCGCACCCATTTTTATAACAGACCAACAGATTTCAACAGATGAATGCTGCGGCATCGACCAGCCTACTTCACGGGCGGCTCGATTTTGACCACTGAAGTCGGTCTCTTAATACTTTTAAGACGGCTCCGGCAGACGCTAGTAGGGCAGCGGCATCTCTAGGCTGACTAACACCATCGAGTGGTCACTAGCTGCCCGAGCCGCCAAGACCTGAGTTTCATGAACACGTTGCTCGCAATTAGTTAGTAGTGGAGCCAGGCACGATGGAGCGGAATGCGGTGTAACACGCGTCGGTTGGCAGACATGTGCTGCCTCAGTTTCAAATACTATTTCCGCAAACTGTGTTTCGACTTCACAGTGCTCCGGGGAGAAGTTAAACCCCAGGCCACAGTATTCGAGGGAAGCTAAAATCACTCATAAGCAGGAGGCAGAGCCGACTTATGTAGTTTCTGGCATGCGGCAACCAATCCAGGCATCGGCTTCGCGGACTGTGATAAGCCGCAACCACAAACAGTTCACCCTGTCCTAGACTGATCGAGCACCATAACTGTTCGCACAAGCCACCTTCGTTACGGTAGCTATGTACCAGTTTTCTGCACAGCGAGGACCGAATGTTTAAGAGCACGCCGAGTCGATCGTTTGATAGTCTGTCGCATCGGAAGCAAGAATAGCCACTGATCTGGACTTCCTGGGTAGTGACCTCAGAATTTAACCAGGTTTCGGCCGCATGACTTGAGGCAACGAGGTGAAATACATCGTCACATTTTAAATACTAAACTAGAAACATTTGTGAAGGCTATGCGTAGGCCGCGGTAGGAACCGGCAGACACGCATGAAGCGTCATCGGTCTGATGATCCGGGTTCGGCGGATCCGGGGAACTACCCGAAAATTAACAATGTGGAGATTAGTTTCTCCACTATCAGTCCGCCGCTTCAAATCCACGATAGCCTGTGAGAGACGCCGTGACAACCCGCTAACAGATTAAATTTTTCATATTACGTGATAAATGTCAGGAACTACGTAAGCTAATTCGCAACGTCTTTAGACAGCTGAAAGTTGGCGAAATGCTTTTCGGGATCAAGTCTAGTGAAAATAGGCTATATACCCCTAAATGGGTGCATTATCAGCATTTACAAGATTACTGCGGATACACTGAATGAATAGATCATTCGAAAATATATAGATACAGATGTAAGAATTAAATAAACAAAGGTATGTGGAAATCATTGAAGGAGCCAGGTGAGCAAAGCATCTATGGCTTTCTTAGATTAGACAAGATGTCACTAATAAGACAAGGTTGTTTCACGATACGAATAAGTGCGAGTGAATGAACTGTTAAATTTTGAGCGCGTGTGAGAAACGGATAAGGTTTGTGAGAGAATATTATGTAACGGATGAAAGTAGTCACTCAAGATCATAGAAGAAAAATTCATGCAGGCGTCAAGACATTTACGAGCAAGGAAACCAACTATGGAATCTCTAGACAAAACACCACAACAGGAAATATGTTTAATCGATCATACAATCGAAACAGTCTTTTTTGTCGGCCCGTAGTCTAGAGGGAACGGGTTTGTCTCGTAATCCTACGGCGTGGTTTCGAGCCTACATAGGGGCAAGGCGATCCTCGCAGTATCCTTAGCCCACGTGCGACCGGTGGTGGTTGCGCGGCAGCGAAGCGCTGCTATATTGCAGTAGTCAAGGGAAAACCGGTGGGGTAGTATACATTGAGTCAAAAATGTCGAGATTAAACCTCACGGTACGGATAACTTCAAAAGTCGGAAAACACTAAAAGATAACCTGCTGACCTTGTGAAATGTTTCCCAAACGTGCATGGACCAAGAGGGTGTTTTGGAAAAATAGATACAGAGATATTTGAGAATAGGTGAAGTAAGCATGGTTTTATCCGCCAAAAATAATAGAGGGGAGGCATCTAAAATTACTTGCAATTTATTAGTACATTTCAAAGCATTAAGGTTAAGGGACCTGGTTGAGGACCAACTCACAAGTTCGTCTAAACCCCATTAAAGCGTAGATGAAGGAAGCTCTGCACTCCAAGACAACATCATCGGCATATTTACATCCAATGAATGTCTTTCGGAGGATGGAGATGCATGATACAAAACAAAATAATGTTTTTTTGTTCTACATGATCCGACTAAGTTGTATTGTGACACAATAGCTGGGGTGTTTCTCACGGCTAGCTAATGCGTGGAATGATGATGATGAGGAGGAGGATCGCAGGTTCGATGGTATATACATGATAGTGGATGAAAAGCAGTGTTGTCACAGTCAACGACCCACTGCGGTCATTATATATGGCCTAATAACATACGCCTAGCTGACTAGTGAATTTGGGGGATACGGTGGTATCACTGCTGCTTTCTACTAACAGGAGGAAAAGACCTTTCAATGCGTCGCCGCATACATAGAGGCTGTATGACTGATTTTAGCCGTGATGAACCCGTTTGGCCCTGTTAAAGTCCTCCATTTTTACTAAAATCATAAATAACAGGCGGACAGCAAGCGCACTTTGTGTCAGACCTAGCTTCCTGACCATTACAACTAGAAGGATTGATCCAAGCAGCAGTATGTGGCAGCTGCGAGTTGATTGGTCTAGCTGAACAAGTGGTTAGTCATTATCGTCCACTGTCATCTACGTGATGCCTATGTGACTCGAGATTGGGATAAATCACAGTTGCGATGATAGACTGTCTTTTACTTTTGTCAGTTTGTGGGTTAAGGTTAGCTCGGGAGCAAGAAGCAATCATGAGGGAAACTAAAAGTGAATCAAGAAAATAGCGGTGACACAAGAGTGCAGACTGTGAGAGGAAGCCAATGACTCCCGTGTCTTACATCATTCAAAGTAAGCTTATAACTCCCAGACAATTACCTCTCATGGCTACGTTGAGAAGGTCATTAAGAGGATTGACCTTTAACCAGTGACGTGTCTGGTATGAGTGTTTCTGGAGGCACATAAACCTGTCACTAGAGGTAGCCTAGTTGGTCGTAGAGGTATGCAAGCAATCGTACCACATTAAAGATGAAGTCTTGTCGCGACGGAACAAGAAAATATTGGTTCGTCCGTCAGTGACGGGATGTGGAGGGATGAATGTTAATCATCTATAGTGCACAAAACACATATAAGAACAATATGTGGGGTATTTCAACGCCGAATCTGAGTAGTATCGCCCAAACTTAACGGAGCAAGTAGTCTATCAATGCCAAACTCTGGTAGCTGCTGTGCCAAAACGATACACTGGTCGGTTGATGACAATGCGGTCAAAGATCCGGATAGGTGAGGGCAATTCGTCGAGATCGTAACTCGCAGCGCAAGAACTCAATACAATCTTCTATTGATAGGCCAGAGAACAGTGAGGAACCAGACGCAATGACTGAGTCACCTTAGAGCATACCGGCCTTGGGACTGAGTGCGAAGAAATGAAACCAAGGTATGGCAACAGAGTATGATATGAGACGTGCACTTACAAAAATTCCCGTACTTGCAGCTACCAGTGTGTCAATCCACAGCGCTGGCCGCCAGGTCATATTAAGAATCATACCACTGAGATGGCTACTAGAGACGCAAGAGCCGCCTAGCGAACTTCACCGATTGGAATATCGACGACAAACACAACCAGTAGCTCGTAATAATCACAACGCTGCGACCGATCTGAGCTTTGATAATTCAATCCGCTGTTTTATACATACCAGGTGTAGTGCTTCAACCCAACGGCTAAACCGCTGCGTTCGTTGCATAAATAGTTTCAGTGAACTGCCTCAACTACCTCAAAATTTCAATCACGTCTGTCCCTGATGGGGATTCTCAAAGTACAAATTGGTTGATTTTACCATCTAGAAATGAACAGAGTTGTCCAAGGAAGCAGATTGCCTGGCTATACCAATTACTAGCATGCTCCGCTGGACAAGGTTGAGCGTGGTATGGAAACTGAGGCGACAGCTAAGCATCAGGCACTTTAAGGAATACGTCGGTCCCGATGATGGTGAGCACTAGCATGAGAAATGACCCACACGATTTGCTAATCACGTTCTGCAATTTCACATCAGAGCATGAGAATAGTCGGTGTGGTCGCATCGAGGCCGCGCATCCACTGTGAATGTGCTCAGGTAAGACAGGATCGAAACCACACAATGTGGCAACAAGGCAAGACCAGCGGTTAGCATGTAACGGAATGTTACTGAGTGATGATGACACACTTGCAAACGTTAGAAAAAGACCAGCGTGATGGAATCTGACACAACTCACTTGCAAGTGATCCTCAAGCAATTCACGTTTGCTTTCGAGATATTCAAAAGTGCGCGGGACTAGTTGCTTCTTCGGCAATTGTCGCGTGATTGCACTGCCATGAAACTCAAGCAATTTTTGTTCTAGTACGTAGAACTCCGAGTATTTACTGTTACAGATGGTGAGAACATGCGGTTGTGCACGAGAGGGAACAGGAATGTCAATAGAAATGATAGGCATGATACTTAAACAGTAACTGGGGGATAAAGAGTAGAGCGACATGTCAGATTTTTACAATGAATAAACATCAGGCAGCTGAGTATCTGATAAGTTTATAAATGCACGGGTGTCCACGTGTAAGGGTGATGACTCATACTGGTGGAGAGGAAGGAAAAAACCCAAGCCTGGAAAAGAAACATCAGATGTTTGCACCATCACAGTGCGGCGTTCAAGATAGTCAAGTTTCCATGAATGGACGAGTGATTCGTGTGAGTGAAAGCGCAGAGTCTAAGTACCCACGCGCGTGTGCCGTAAGTGATCGGTGAAAACAACTCAACGAGGAGTCAGATACATTCATTCGCCAAAAATTGATAATTCCGGTAATAAAGCCAAAAAACTACAATTATCATCGTCATCCTTATCGCACATTAGACATAGATAAGGGACAACACATGTAATGTGCCGTACTGCAATACAAGTAAACAGAAGAAAGGAAACGTATGAGAAAGTGTGAGATAATACAAAAGCAGATAAATAATGCTATGGATAGTTTTTGATATCTTGTTCGGAGGGGTAAACGAAGCGGGGGAGAGGGATAAAGTAATGTACAGATCAAACGTCCTTGGGGCGGGCTCTTCGCCAATTCAACCGGTGTATCCAATCCGACACGTTTATCGTCTTTCGGACAAGAACCAGGGACTCGAGAAGAACCATCCGATGACAAGATCGAAGTGAGAGAACTCATATATCTTGACCACGTCATCTGTTGGCATCTCCTCCAGTTTTCTAACCATAACCTCGCCGTGCAAACAACCCACGTCATTAGGAGTTGCTAAGCTATCAGAGCGATTCACATCCTCATCCTGTGCCATAAACCTGACACTGAACACGCTCAGACAGTGGTACCACAAGACATGAGCTAAACTGTGGAGACAGCAATGGTGGAACGCAAATAGTCTCTTTAAGACTGTCGATCTGATTATCCAAGTCTTGCGAAGGCACAGGAGAGTGGAAGACACGGTTACGTCGTAAATTCTGTCGACCACAACGACAGTGATGTTGTGCCGGCGTAGTAAGTGCCGAAGATGGGTAAAAGCAAGTCAACGTTTTGCTATACAGTACGTGGTCGCTTTTATTCCACAGAGCTGATACAGCTGCCCAGATAATGAAAGTTCTGAACGACCTACTGCTGATCACCAGCAATGGTCAGCGTTGGAGGGGGTCCCCGCCAATATTGGAAGACAGCTTTGATTTCGGAGGCGCAAAGCAAAACCCAAAACGAATGACAGCCAGAGCTAACCTGCCAAGTGCTGCATACCACGTTTGTGAGCTACCAAAGGTTAAGGCAATATCGTCGGTATAAACAAAGTCAAGAAGTCGAGCACCTGAAATAAACTCCACATCCTCCAAGTGGTGGTCAGTGAACGCACGCCTTATCTCACACCGTTGAAGGGCGGGGACAGCTTACTATATACACCCACACTGCTCACACTGCTATTTTATTTCTCGGGCACACCCTGAGCAGACAGTCCCAAAATGCATATTGATTCACCGAATCGAAGAAACTTTTGATGTCTCGGTACACGACTAACGTGCGTCAGCAATAACTATTGCAGTGTTCCAACAATTAACGTAATGTTAAGATGTGGTTAATGCAGCCTCCATTTCGACGAAACCCGGTTTTCACGGGTGTCCTTCAGGCAATTGAGAATGATAGAGGTAAGTAACATAGAGACGATTAAATAAAAAAATAAATATTTTATTCTCGGCGACGAGAGGCACGCATTTACAGGCATGATAATGGTATGAAAACAAAGTGTGTGAACAATAAAGTACAACAATACAACATACTTGCAATAACAGCTAATGTGTGCATGGATGTGTGTGTAACTGTGGATAGGTGTACCTTCGCAGCTTGTGTTTGTAAGTGTGCCGCTGTATTTGTGACTGTTTGACAGCGTCGGCAATGAGAGAATAGACGATTGGATTGGATGTAATTATCCAGATACCCATGGGGCACCGACTTCAGTTTGCGGCGAGTCACAACCGCCAAGTCACAGTGTTGATAAACGGATATTAGTGGCTTTCTATAGGGAAAACGCTTGCCAGGTGAAAACTTACAACGTCCTGGAACACTGACACCGAACACTTTGCCGGGAGGAATAACACCCGAACCACCCAGCTGGCACCACGAGGAGATTGATCAGACTGATCACTCTATGCTTACCGCATTCCAAACATCCAATCATGATACACGAAAACTGAATGTGGAAAACACCTCGACAATTGTGCCGTCATACACGAGAAAGGAAAACAACACGCAACAGAGGCAGACCGGCTGAGTCACCAGTAACGGATGAACATTGTTTCGGAGAGCTAACAGTCGGTTATTGTGCCGTAAAGTAGTCATTTTATTCGTAATAATGGATTGTGGTAGGAAGAGGAGGCCAAGCGGGAGGCGGAGGGACTAAGAAACTCACAACACAAATGCCATTGAGGTCGGCTCCTAGCCATGTCAACAACTGTATCCAGCCAAAGGTGTTCATCGTCTTTGGGTCCTCAACCAGGGAACCGAGAGGCTCCAAACGAGGCCAACTTCGAAGTAAGGGCCTTCACTCCTCGAGAGCAGGGGTGACCAAATCTTTTACAAGGAGGGCCATATTTTGTGTGGTAAAATTAGGTTGGGCCACATTCAGTCTGACATTAAGATAAAAACAAAAATTACACATGCACGAAAAAAGCCCAAGCCTGAATTGATTAGACAATGATGAGGACGCCGGACAGTTGTAATGTTAATGCGGGCAGCATTTCGCAAGCAAGCAAGCAGGACAATGGACACCCTGCACTAGACCAAGCCATCGCTTGGCCACCACTTCTCTTCTTCCATCCACAACCCCGGCGCGCAAACAACGTACGTCGCGAGAATCGGTGGGCTGGCATGCGCAACACGTGGCCCATCCAGCGGAGCCTGGTGCGTGAAATAACGTTGCTGAGCGGTCCGCTTCTACTTATTGCGCCTAAAACAAATCCTCGAACACGCTCATTGCTCACAGGGTGTTCCCAACAGATATGAGCCAAAATGCGAAGGCACCGGTGGTCGAACGTAACTAGCCTCCTTATGTCTGCTGCTCTGATGGGCCAGGTTTCACAACCGTACAGTAGGGTAAAACGTACGGCTGCAGTGTACATTCTACCCTTCAGGGAGAAAGTGATGTTGAGCGGGCGTCATAAGGTGGCGAAGATTAGCAAAAGCACGAGGCGCTTTTGTTATACAGTTTGTGATCTCGTCTTCAACTCCAATGGCGCTGACATAAGTACCTAGGTAGTTGAACTTTTGAATGTCTTCTAGGTGATCCCCACCATGGGTCAGCGCAGGAGACGGTCCCTGCCAATCTTGGAGCAAAGCTTCGCACTTCGAGAGTGCAAAGCATAGCCCTAAACGGGTGCCAGGCAGTGCTAATCCGTCCAGTGCCGCTTGGCATGTTTGGGACCTGTCCTAGATGAGGGAAATATCGTCAGCATACTCCAAGTCTAGAAGCTGTACACCTGGGAGCAACAGTACACCTTCTAAGTCGTGTCCTGTGAAAGCGATCTCCATGACTTCGTCAATAGCGAAGGTGAAGAGGAAAGTTGACAGCATGCATCGTTGTCTTACACCGTTGGAGATATTGAAGGGCGGCGACAGCTTGCCGTAAGCCCTCACGCTGCTCGCGTTATGCGCGTAAAGCGCACGCATGATATTCACATGCTTAACGGGCACACCTTTCCTTAGCAGACAGTCTCAAAGGGCACATCAATCCACCGAATCGGAGACACCTTTGATGTCGAGGAACACGACTAAGATGGGCCATAAATATATGTGACGGTGCTCCAACAACTGACGCGATGTGAATATGTGGTCGATACATCAAAGACCAAAACGAAACCCAGCCTGCTCATCATGAAACTGGCTTTCCTGATTGCCAGTCAGTCTGTGAAGGATTACGGAGGCAGGCAATTTGGAGACGAGGGGGATCAGACTGACAAGTTACCATTTAGCGAAACAGATAATGAAACAGGGAGTAGCTTTGTTGTTAAGGCAGACGCAGCTGATTAGTCACATCGGCGGACACTAGTCATCAGAGTCCGCCGGTCTGCATATAAAATTGGTGCCGAAACAAATATCCAACGAGTCGAAGCCGGATCCAGTGAATGTGTATTGTCAAGGAGACCCTAACGATCAAAAAGCTAATAAAGTGCTTTCTAGATGTGTTGCGGGCCCGTCAAAAATCCCCGCAAAAACACGCCAGAAACTCCGGCAAAATGGCTGTGGAAAGCGAGGTTCAATTCCTCCGACAACGAGGCAGCGTTCAGCCATTCCGAGACGCATCCCAACTGCGCACCTTTTGACAATGGTCTTTTACAAACTACCACCTCGTCATGGTAGAAATTTCCCCTAACTTAATGACCCATAGCATTGGCTGTGATTCGCCCTTTGTTGGTAGTAAAAGAGCCTTCAGAGGGTCGCCAGTCTATCTTTCCTCTTCGCCTTACTTGGGAGTCGGTCGGGTCACGTGATTTTGTGTGAGTCGTTAGCTGACCAGCGTTCGCGTCTAAGTCATTAGGGAGCGCCTATCGTAACCCCCTCTGGTGTGCGTCCGTTCCGAGGGCTCAGTGTCTACCCGAACACGTGCGGCTAGGGTCGTTCTCACGCTCGCCCAATTTCCGTCTCACCGGCTAAACTAACGTCATCAGGTCAGCGCAACTCCGTTCGATTGGCCAGCGTTACAAGCCGTTATCGTAGGCGTGCTCCAACCGTGCCAGCAACAATCTTAGCAGGCATCGTTTACGCAATCATAACAGGCGGCGTTCCCTCAATTATAACAAGATGCTTCGACGCTGACTGATTAGGCCACGTTATGATTGATTGTATCCAGACAACATGTGAGCAAAACTAAGACCTGGCATATGCTCCTCACTTAGGTGACGATTGTAGGGAAGTGTGTATTCGTTGCCAGACTGCAAGACATTTGCACTCAAAACGCCATGCTCAGTGAGATACAGAGGATCCGAATGATTTCAAAGTGTAATCCTGTTAGGTCATTTTTCATAGATCAGCACATATCAGAAGGGAATAAGAAGAGAACTGCATGCTTCTCAATTTTGATGTACCAGTGCAATGCGAGCTAGCGAAAGAGAAATCCCCGGATAGGCATTCTCAAAATGAAGGCAGCAGTGGGTAAAAAATACAAGTGAGAATGATAAAAGGTCGATCACAACTGCCTGCCACTACATTGCATAATCCGGCGTTGAAAATAAAACGAATGCAGTCTATGCCCGTCTCCACAACTACAAACCGTAATGAAATTCTATAAGTGAGTGTGTAGGCTGTAACCCTGAATCGAAACCGCGCCTGAGTTCTAGATCACGAAAGCTGAATTGAGGCTTTGTAGTTAAGCTTGATGAAGCGAGTGAAATAATACACAAATCCACAGTTTCTCTCATAATGGTGACAAAAACCAGTGATTAGGAGAGACGTAGTTAATCAGTGGCAGGGGCTGCTGGACTAAGCCTGATAGCGTGTTTACTTGGGACAAGACAGCTTTGTTCGTTTCAATGAAAACCGAGAGTTCACGTAACTGTGCAAAACTTTACTGCAACGAACACAGTATTCAACTGACACCTCTCTCTGCTTCTCCTCGAGGCAATATATACTCAACTCTAGTTAATATCGATGTAAGCACACGATTCACTGCATGCGGAAAAACTAAAAATGTGTTTGGCTCAATTGCAAGCACGACACGACTGAGATTAGTAACAACCACATTTCGACAGGATTCGAAAACAGAATATATTTTGAACCGAATGGGAAGTCATCATTTCAGAAGGCTTGGTGTAGTATAACAAATATATTGGTCGGTCGTCTACTAATCCATCTGAAACGATTTCGACAGTATATGCTGAATTTAGCTATTCCACGTATTCTCGTCAGTCGTTTACATAAAATTGATGAGATAGATTGCAGAGCCATTCAAGGTGTAACATCACTGGTACATCGACAACGGGCAAAGTTTATCTGACGCTGGCCGGCATTCCGTTTAGAGGAATGTGACCACCAGCCTCCCAAGATGAGGCAACGAACTCCGTCTGTTAACACATAGTGTGTTTTAGCCGTCTAATTGTATGTAAACGGATGGCGAGAACACGCGAAATAGCTGAATCTAAAATATCCTGTCGAGATGTTGTTCTTAATTGCCATTTTGAAATTTGTGAAGGGAAAGTTCTGTATGGAAGTAGTAGATTGATTTAACAAAGTCTGGAAAATCATAATATTGATCACGAACTATGAGCATGACCTAAGCACGGGAAAACGCCGCACTTGTTAATTTAATCAAAAGGAGTAGCTAGGTCGTCCGGCGACTAACAACAGCTTTTGTGTTTCAGGATTAATGTCCGATTGCAGGGCGGTTTCGTCACCCATCGCGGAGCACCCAAGCCGAAAATCAGTCGTTCGGCGCATTGCTTAATGTGTCGCGAACGTCGTCTGCTAATTGTCGCAACGCTGGTTCCACTATCAACCGCTGGTATTCGCACGACCAGGTAATTCCGATTTCTCAGATGCATCGTACTCCCACTATCATCATTTCGTTTAAAAGACTAACCAAAAAGACTTTGATAGAACAACTTAATTCTCTGGATTTATCTAAAACCTTAGTGGTTTCTTCGATAGACGTTCCTGCCAGCTACACCACCTTAATTACATTTCAGAATCCATAGACTCCGAGTTTGTAATTATAATTTTATTTTTGAACCTAGAAAAAACATTTTGCCGTGTACATCACAGATGGGTGTTAAAAAATAGAACTCTTTAAAGTCCGGAAACCGCTTTTCCTTCTAGCTTAACTTTATGTGGTCACCTCTCATCCCAACATCCAATCCCCAGCGGTGTTATCCAGAAAAGTGTACATGGCACATTAATATTTCTCCCCTTGGTATCATGGCATGTTCACCAAACATGGCCAACTACTTCTATGTGCTGCTACATTAAAATTGTTTATAACTCTTTCGCGCAGCAATTTTTGGAGTTGTGAAAAAATTATCTTAACAAATTTTAATCTTGACTACACAGTAGAAAGAAATTTTTTTTGCCGTGTCAGCAATGGTCACATCATACAGGGCAATGTCTCCGCAGTGGACCGCATGCATCAGAGACCACCAAAAACGCCTGTGTAGCTGTGGAAGGAGCCGATGTTAGCCATCCACTACAGTGATCTCTATACGCGAAAGGGATAAGCTTCGGCGTGATAAGTTTCAGAAATAACTGCTGCTAATTCAAGCTGACCATCACTCTCTTGCGGAATGGTTCGACACCTGATTGATAAAATTCACGACTGACAAAGCAAGCATTATGTCCCACGAGTTGCTAGAGCCCCGAAAGCTCAAACACTCAACAATAAAAGTATATCCATAGGGCAGTTTACCCGTGATCTTGGAATCCGGTAATTTGCCAACTCCCGCTTTTCTAAAGAAACCAAATACCAACTAGCTCGAGCCAAACATTTCAAGATTAACATGAACCACAAAATCGGTGCAGTCCCTGCCAAACACGAATTGTCAAAAGCCCACACTCGCCCTATCAAATTAAGTCACAATAAGCTTTATGTATCCAGATGAGCTAAACTTACATTAGCAAAAAATTTGTAAGAACGGATAATAGGACACTGTGTAGAAGTGTCACTTAAATAAACGATCAGTGTAAAAGAGTCGCAATTAAACAGTTCCGGACAGAATAATTTAAAACCAGCGTTGCAAGCTAGGTTGTCAATCGGGAGCGTCCATCTTCACGTGTGCAGTATCTTGAGTATTTCTCAAAGATTACGCGTAGGACAGCAGCGGTGACTTTGCAAACAGCTTGACAGATATCAGTATTGAAATATTCCGAGAGAACTAATGGATCCATAGCGATATTGTAAAAACGATGTTCAGTGACAACGGCACGGCCGATTTAAAGGCCCCAACTGCATCTATGGCAACATGCGGAAGATGGACAGGAAAACCATGGAAAATTGGCAGAGATCATACCCCAAACTACCGTGAACGCTATAAGCAGCTTCTTATTGAGCCCCTCTGGATGCGGCGTCTGAAGTAAAACTTGACATCCCTACACAATTCGTAACATCAGGAAACGTACCTGCCTAACTAAGAGAGATTAGGAAAGATACCCATCAAAGTCTCCGTCACAAAAGCCATATGCTTCTTGTACCAAGACCTTGAACAACCATGCGCTCGAACTATTTCCTCATCAGACACGCCATCTTACGGAAATACCTGCCAAGTTCAATCAGGGCATGTGAAAGTCATAGATAACGCCACACCAAACTCGATAGTCGTTTTGATCTGAAGTGGCATTATCCAGGTAAATCAAAGAGATGAGTATAAAGAGCAATGCCTAATCTCGCTGGACGCGAAGTCGGTTCTTGGTAAATGCAGAAATGCAGGTGACTTCTAGTGAGGGAACAACACTGAGAAATGACTAGATTGCTTGGAAGTGAAAGGCAAGAGTAAAAACGAAAGGCTCATCCAACCCAGCAAAATAAGAGGGCAACAGAAGGATGATGGGAAAGTAATATGATGGCTAAAAAGTTGGGCTAAGTACAGACAAGCCCCAACTGAATGCATACAAACAGCCTAGAGATCATAAAACGATCTGACGCAAAGCAATCTGAAACTCACCGTGCAACTCGAGCAATCGGCTGGCGTGCCCCATTCACGATGCGTTCAGTTCGTACGGTGTACATGAATTGTGAGGAAAGTTGTGGCAAGCGGTTGGGACCGGACTGCAGTAAATTGAGCTCGTTCAAGATTTTGGCTTTAAAAGTAGCGTCATGGGGTCTGGCGGCGTACTCTGAAGAACGTGCCGAATGAGAAAAGATAGGAGTAGCGCCAGATGGAACTAACTGATCGATCAACCGACGACCAGGTTGCACCTCGGGACGACACAGTCCAGGTATAAAGACGCGCCAATCAGACATATCGATTTGGTGTGAGTGAAGCAGATAATGTACATGCAGCTGATGTTGCGAATCCGTTGTGAGACCACTGAGTAGTGCTCGGGATGGCTCTGTGTTCAAAGCCTCCGTGGCACGATCTCGAAGGGGAACACTGCGGGGACCAGATTTCGTGGAACGGTCGACCAAACTGACCACAGGTCGAGAAGTGTCTTGCTCCAGATTTCGTAACACCCGTCCCTCAACTGGAATGAGGAGTGAAGAAGCAAAAGACAATGGGAAAACCGAACAAACTATCGTATCACTGTGAGGCAAACTGATTCAGCATGGGGACAGAACCAAATTGGAAGTCATGCATATTCTCGTACCAGTTGGGCACGCAATAGTACTTTTAGTCAAAAAGGTAACACGTCACAAGGAGTGAGACGAAATACCAGCCAACCAAATAGCCGGATGAACATAAGGCACATGAAAAGTGGGGACCAGCCATGCCTTGTGTAAGGTTCGTAACTTGCATGTCGGTGCAGGATTGTTTCGTCATACTGCGTTTGGTTACCATAAATAACGGTTTGTGGCTGTCACCTAGGTTTGGCGTCAAGAAATCATGGGTCCGGTTCTTGGTGGAGCTGAGAGAAATGCGTTAATGACAAGTCCCTAGTAGGACGAAACAGCAGTAGAGGAGATTTTCGGAAGCGTGGGAGAACTATGGATCATCATCATCATTACACGTTAGCTGGAGGTGGAAAACACCTCAGCTATTGTGCCGCAATACGAAAGACAAGAAAAGGAAAACAAACGGTGGCACGCCCGCTGAGTCCCCAGTAACGGATGGACATCGTTCCGGAGAGCTAACAGCTGGCTGCCGTAAAAGAGAGTCATATTATACCTATCAAGTGAGATCATGATTGGAGGGGGATGCTAAGCAGGAGGGGATGGACAAAGGAACTCACAACACAAACGCCATTGGGGTCGGCTCCAAGCCATATCAGCGAATGTGTCCAACCAAACGTGTTCACCGTCCTTAGGACCCCAGCCAGGCAGTCGGGATGCACCAACCGACGCCAACTTCGAAGTGAGGGTTTTCATTTCTCTCGACCAAGTCATCACTTGGCCTCCCCTCCTCCTCTTCCAACCGCACCCACAACGCGCAAACAATGCACGTCGCGGGAGTCGGTGTGCTGGCATGCGCAACACGTGGCCCAGCCATCGGAGCCTGGTGCGTGATATAATGGTGCTGAGCGGTTCACTCGCTCTTCCTGCACCAAATACGCGACGTCGAACACGCTCATTGCTCACGCGGTGCTCCCACCAGACATGAGCTAAGCTGCGAAGGCAGCGATGATCGAATATGACGAGCCTCTTTATGTCTGTCGACCTGATGGGCCAGGTTGTACAACCATATAGGAGAGTTGAACGGACGGCTGCGTTGTAAACTCTGCCCTTCAGGGCGAGAGTAATGTCGTGTCTGCGCCACAGGTGGCGGAGATTGCCAAAAGCACCTCGAGCTTTTGCTATACGGTTCATAACCTCATCTTCAATCCCACGGGTGCTAATATAGCTGCCCAGGTACTTGAATTCCTGAACGACTTCTAGCAGATCACCACCAAGCGTTAGCGCAGGGTTGGGTCCCTGCCAATCTTGGAGAAGTACTTTGCATTTCGATGGAGCAAAGCATGGTCCAAAACGATTGACAGCCAGTGCTAATCGGTCCAGTGCTATTTGGTATGTTTGGGAGCTGTCACAGATTAGGGCAATATCGTCTGCATACTCCAAGTCAAGAAGTCGCTCACCAGGAAATAGCACCACACCTTCTAGGTCATGTCCAGCGAACGCTGTTTCCATGACTTTAATCAATAGCGAAGTTGAAGAGGAAAGGCGACAGCGGGCATCCTTGTCTCACACCGCTGGTGATACTGAAGGGTGGCGACAGTTTGCCATAAACCCTCACCCTGCCCGAACTATGCGCGTACAGAGCTTTGATAATATTTACATATTTATCAGGCACCCCTTTCCTCAACAGACAGTCCCAGAGGGCACATAGATCGACTGAGTCGAAGGCACCTTTTATGTCAAGAAACATGACAACGGTGGGTCGCCAATAAACATGGCGGTGCTCCAACACTTGACGAAAGGTGAAGATGTGGTCGATGCAGCCGCGACCTCGACGAAATCCGGCTTGCTCTTCACGAATCTGGCTTTCACGAGTGCCAGTCAGTCTGTGGAGAATGATAGAGGCAATCGAAATCAGATTGATCCCTCTATGATTGCCGCATTCCAAACGAGAGCCTCTCTTGAAAATTGGGACAATGACGAAGCGATTCCAGTCTGTCGGGACTGTCTCCTGCTCCCAAAGTTTTACTAGCAACTCGTGTATATCATCTATTAGAGCAGATCCTCCGAATTTGAAGAGGGCTGGAGGAATTCTATCTGCCCCTGCGGCCTTATGCAATTTCAACAGTCTGATCTCACGTTCGACTTCTGCGCGTGAGGGCGGATCCAAGGAGACGGCCCAAGGAGAAGGGCGCTCAATGCCCGAAGAAGAAAGCGATAACTCAGGTTGATTAAGTTGCCTTGCAAAGTGTTCAGCCCAACGCTCCAAGCGTTTTGACAGGCTGTGGATCGGCTGCCCACTCTCGTCGCGTATGGTCTCGCTAACACCAGGTCTTCTGCTGCCTGTTTCCCGTATCAGACGGAATAACTTACGATGATTACCAACGGCAGCGGCTGTTTCCATTTCCGATGCACGATGAGACCACCAAGTTTCGCGATCCTTCTTCAAGCTAGCACGTAGTTTTGTCCTGAGATTTTTAAGAGCCAGATTGTATTCGTTTCCAGCCGGAATACGTCGGCGAGCATCCATAAGTTTCAGAGACTGTGTAGAGACCCAATGTCCGGTTTGGCAATTTGCTTTGCCACATGAAGACATGCCTGCTAATAGCAACGCTTGACGAATGTGCGACCAGTGATCTTCAACGGTGTTTAGTGGGCGCTTGCTCAGCCCAGATGTTAGCGCACTTTGGTACACATTCAGAACATCTGGCTTCGCCAGCTGGATAGTGTCAATCCGTTCACATCGACGTTGCGGACGTCCACCGAAACGAACCAGGAGGTCGGCACAGACAAGTGCGTGGTCATAGTCCACGCTCGTACTCCAAATCGAGCGACAGTTTTGGACACAGCCTCTCCAGCGGTAACTGATCGCGATATGATCGATTTGCGTCCATGGCTGGCCCGAGGCTGGTGGCCGTCAAGTCACGCTTCTGCGGGTGCTGTGTTGGAAGTTAGTGTTTGCGAGAAAGAGGCGAGCATCTTCACACAGCTGTAGCAATCGCTCACCATTATCATTACGGGAGCCCACACCATGTTGGCCGCCCAGGTGAAGGTCATCAGAGGACAATTTTCCGAGTTGAGCGTTTAGATCACCAGCCAACACCACAGTATCCGTGCTTCTTCTGTAACGAAGGAGCTCGTGAAGTTGCTGATAGAAATCATTTTTTTACCGAATCAGTGCTACAGTTTGTAAGGGCGTAAGCCGCAATGACAAACAGGCACCGTTTGTCCCCGCGTGACTTCGTAGCACGGAACGAACCAGCTAATCTAACGGCACACATCCTACTATTTACTGGGATCCAATCAATCAGGGCAGCTTCAGCCCGGGGATTCAAAACAATGCCGACGCCAGCTTGACCGACATTTGAAGCTGCATCATCGCTAGACAGGCGCAATGAGAATATGCCGCCAATGTCGTATGTGGGGGATCTCAGGGTAAGCACGGAGCTCAAATCTTTCAGGCGGGTTTCTGATAAACAGCTAATATCGATCGATAGGGTCTCCAGTGTGCGGGCAAGTGCTGCCTGTTGGCCAATCGGCAGCAAAGTGCGCACGTTGAGGCATGCCAGTCTTAGCGAGACACGAGGACTCCAAAGGGAAACGGATGAACTGACGTTGTCCGCTTGGTTGAACATGGACTTGTCAACTGGATTGGAGCGAGGCCCTGCGATTGTGTGTGATTTAAAATTAGAAGACAAGCGACTATGGAAGTAAGCTGGGGAAGGGCCAAGAATTGGGGGGATATAAGTAAAGTTGGAGCGGGACGATAAGGATGAAGAAGCGCAAGAAGGGGTATAAGAAGACGGAAAGGCCTGAGCAGTAGCATCCATACCCCTATCCACCCTGCTCGATGCAGCAGATAGGGCGCCGTTTATTATCCTCTGCGACGGCCAGAGCATCAAGAAACTGTTGTAGGAAAGGTTCATCGTATTGCGTGGACAGAATACTGTCAGGTTGCCCACGCCTAGACAGGAGAACGATTAGGGTCCTCAACCAAAGCCTTTGGTCCAAAAACCTTACCGCAAGGCAGCGGGTTTTGGCACTGGACTACAGAGCCCGTTTTATGAAATGAGGAGCCACCCCCATTCCAACCCCCAACCTGTAGGACCAGGAGGCTGAGTTTGTCTGGCCTCTAACCATTGACCAATCTGGTATGAGTGGCTCTGAAGGTGCAAAAAAAAGCACCACCCAGCATAACTCAATGGATCTCTGAGGCACGCAAACCATCGCACCACAGTAAGGTCCAGCCTCATTGCGATGGCAGAACTATGGATAAGAACTAACTGCAACGGACAACCTCAAATGTACATTAAAATATGTTACCCATAAGTAAAATTCATAACAGACACATTATGGGTCATTGGTAGTATGTTTGTCACTTACATCATAGAACGAAACACCTTTCTCAGATCCCCAAAAAAGAAAAGGCGGTCACTCAACCGAATCTAAGGTCAGTCTGTCAACAGGCCACTTAATTCTATTGCCCATAATTGGAACGAGAGCTAGTTGAGAGCAAAACATCACCGATCGTGCACACAATGTAGTGCGCATAAATGCACAGCAAGAAACAGCAACAATCGAAGGAGCATCATTGTGCAGGGAGTAAACATGGGCATACACGGAAACCTCGTTGGTCACGAAAAATATAACCGTGGTATGCGATATAGAAGCAAATGTTGGTAGCTCAGGTTGTTTAGTTGATTGGCTGATTGTTCGCTGAGCTCGGCAGGTTGACTGCAAACGTTTCGTCACCACTCGAGGTGACATCGTCAGTGCGAATGTATTTAGCAGTGTGGCGCGTACCGACGCCTCATACGCGCCACACTGCTAAATACATTCGCACTGACGATGTCACCTCGAGTGGTGACGAAACGTTTGCAGTCAACCTGCCGAGCTCAGCGAACAATCAGCCAAT